AATGCAATAAGATCAAGAGACTAAGAAAGGCTGTATTGAAAAAATGGGAACACACTTATAATCTCACCGATCTAATAGAGTACAAAAAAAGTACCTCAGGCCAAAAAACTGTTTAAAAAGAAAGAAAGAAAACTTTAAAGAGTTTACAAAAACCCTCAATTTCCGTACAGATTTAAAATACACTTAGAACAAAACTAAAATTTTTAAAAACAAATGGGCCAATATGATCCCAACGAACGTCAAGTCAAATCTACAAAATGAAAATCTGGTCAACTCCGCTCTCAACAAGATTAGCCCACCATGGGTACCCACCGATGCATCTTATGAACCTATTTCTTATCCGGACGAATTTTTTGATCAGTATTTTAATTTAATCGAATTTAATCTTGCACTAAATGAACGGAATCCCAATTCATCTCCAGGCTTAGATGGAATCAATTATGATGTAATAAAAAAACTACCGTTAAAATATAATTTTACTGGATATCTATAACCAAATGTACTCTAACTCAACACGCAACACTCGTGTAAATTAGGGCCAACTATTGGAAAATATGTGTAAAAAATTTCGATCATATCGGCCTCACTGTTTCTGAGATAAGTGTACCTTTGTATCAAAAACCTAGGTTTTCAGAAGACGCAAAAAAACTAAAAATTTCTATTTCCCGTTCGATTATCGATATAAATGTCATCAAATCGTATTTAATTTTATCAAAATCGATTGAAACACTGGTTTTTCGGAAATTTACTGTCTTCTTTACCCTAGAAAACAATACCCTATGGCTGTGATCAAGGTAACCGCGCTTCCAGTCTTCCGCAATATTGACTGTCGTTGTTTTCTCTTCGAGAAAGTTGTCAGTTGTATTTTCTTATATTTTTTACAGTTTTATCGCGTTCTTTTTACTAACTTTGTGTTGTCGAACTTCTTTTTTTTTTAAATTTTTTTACCACTTCTATGCTCCAAATTCAATTTTCTTTGCGTAGAATTGTTCAGAATCGCTTACATTGTAATAAAAAAAAAATAGAAAAAAGTGATTTTTTTTCTTTTTTTGATATTCCAAGCTCCTTAAGGAAACAGACAACCCTAACGAGATGCTAAATACCGTTTTATCAAACGAAACTTCGTATAATGTCTTTTACACCGATCACAGTGCGGACAAATAGCAAAATTGTGAACAAAAATCAAAATTTCATTACTAATGTAAATATACCGCTACTTATTCACAAAAAAAAAATAAAATTAACTATAAGCATTAATAAAATCACAAAAAAATTAACAAATTTAACAAAAAATTAGCAAACCCCAATTTTGATGAAACTTTGTATACTTGTTTGTGGGACCTTCTTACGAATTACACCATCATTCAGTACGTGCTACTTTTACGTTTTGAGGGAGAAATTAACCCTTTTATCCGAGCCGCTCCTTTTACTTTTGCCCGGAAACGATTAGAGATTTCAAAAAAATGTTCAAGCAAACATTACACTGTTTTTAGAGGCCTATAAACCAATACCAACAAATTAAAAAAAAAAGAAAGTTTTATTTTAATTACCCCCCTCCCTTCGAAATTTTTGAAAATTTATGTTTATTTCTGGATCAGTAAACGCGTTTTTTTTATTCTGAATCCAACAGTGCGTATGAGTTTATGATTATCATACGGGAAAATGATGTAATATTGTAAAATTGTCCCTTTAGTAGTCCATATTTCGAATTCTTTAGGAATTTTTTTCTCATAAATAATAGAAGTTGGACCCATATGTGATTTAACACAATATGCTTCATTTTGGCTGAAGATGTACAAAATAATTTTTAAAGAAATCCATAAATCAATTAAATCAGAAATTTTAACTTCCAATTGTGATCCTACACCAACAGTACGGTTCCTTATTAAAAATTATATAAAACCGAACGTTGCAAGTATTTGTAAAAAAACTTATAAGTTACTTAAAATATAACAAGTAATGTATCAAAATATGTTGAAACACGGGATATCTTTTCCCGTTTTGTCTGTATGTTTGTTTAAAGATAAAGATTGTATTATGGATACAAATGATTGATACCTGATTATTTATAACAATTTCCACGCTGACACACATTTTCTACGATAGAAATCTGCCTCACATTATGATATATACTAATATTGAATTTTGTCCACTTATTCCGTACTGTGCGATGGGAGCAAGATTATAAACTCACCATCTGCGGGATCAGCATGTATATCCAAGGAATTAGGAATACAAATCGTAGAAAATATTGATAACACAGCTTCTGTTTATACTGCAGAATGCATAGCGGTACACAATGCTTTCAAAACTGCTCTTCACCACTCACACCAAAATGTTAAAATCTTCTGTGACTCTCTTAGTGTCCTCCACAGCCTTAGAAACCCTAAAAGTGATGTTAAAGTAAATCCATACATTCTTGAAATTAAAAAAACCTATAACAAATTCATACATGAAACTGCTAATAACAGAAATATTGAACTCTTCCGGATACCCTCACATATAGGTATTGACGGGAATGAAGAAGCTGACGTGCTAGCCAAACTTGCGACTACAACAATAGACGACAATCGCAATCTCGTTCCATTTTCAGATTTCCGGGAACATTTCAAGCGCTAAAGTAACTCAGATACTGATAAATTCACAAGAGAGCAAGGTGTATACAAAGGCAAATAATATTTTCTGTACTATCAACAAAATAGCAAAAGACCATGGTTCACAAATAAGAGGCTTAAGCGAGAAAATATCGTAACATTAAATCGTTGCAGGTCAGATCACTACAGCCTCGCGGCGTCATTCTCTCGGGTCGGTATTACCAACGATTCAAAATGTAATTGTGATGCCGAAATACAAGATTTGAATCATATAATCTGGCAATGTCCACTATATAACTCTCCACCTATCAACTTAATAAAAAGACTGAGAAAGTGTGGTTTCCAACTGCCAATGAATATAAGACTTTTACTTCGTAAGCTCAACAGTAGAACGTGCTCTCACCTTTGTAAATTTATAAAAGAGTGCAATTTGTACATCTAAAAAAAAAAAAAATAAAAATAAATAGAAAAAAACTGCTGTAGACGATAGAAATCCAATGTACAAACAAAGACAACCACTTTGTATTAATCTTTAGATATAAGATGTAAGATATAAGTGTTGTTCATGTATAAACCCATGTAACGCCGTATAATTCTCATCATTAGAGAGTTTTATGAAGGCTTAACAAAACAAAAACAAAAAAACTGTTTATACCACCGTATAGTATCGTAGTGTAAGTAAGATAGAGTTCGTTTTGTCAGGAGTTCCGTTATCGATCTTTTCAGAAGTCCGAAGCAATTCAGGTTATGACGGTTTAAGAAGCATTGAATAATAAAAAGCATGGTATCGAGTTTCGTCACTGCTTCAATGTTGTTGCTCGTGCAGTACCATTACACGATTACAATTTCTATGAAAGCATTTGCTGCACATGCAATCAGTGTACAGGTATCTGTTTATCACGATTTCCTCTTTCCATTACAGTGTGCCATTGTAATCTTGCATCATTAATAAGATTACAAATAAACTGTTCATATCAAGATACTTTTTGAGGAGTTGTTTTTATTAAACTGAAATTTATTATTTTTACTCCATTATTAATGTTCATTAATGTTCTTTCACAATCCTGGAAATATTTCTTCCATCATTCATAAATATGATTGTATGATTGGTAAATTTGTTGATATTCAATCTGTGCCAATTTAAACTTGACTGCTTGACTTCATTGCACTACTCAAAAATCCATTTAATATCCACAATCTACATAGCTGTACGATTTGTAAATATATTATTGTACTAATTTAAATAAACATATCCAGTGTCCATATAAATTTTCTACATAAGGTACAATTACTTCATGACATAGAGAGTTAAATTAATAAACAGAGTACTGTTTAGGTTAAGGAGCAGATGCGATCTGTTACAGTCAGGAATAAAATAATAAGACACCCTAATAATTTCTAAATTTTCATTTAATAGGTAACATAAACGAAATTTAATGTATGTGTAACATTTTATGCTGTTTTTGTTCAAATGTTCCAGTTGTTTAAACTAAGATGTCGATACTCGATATGATTTTATCTGAAGAAATATAAATACTGAAGAAAATCAGTGGGACAAAAAAATAATGCAGTCCCATAAATATTCGTACCTTCTATGTCTAGTAAAGAAATCTGTCTAAATTAAATGATAGGTTTGATATTTTCATATAATTGTTTCATTTATAAATATGTACATGAATAAACTTTACACTTGTATGAATCTATAATGTATTACTTATTTGAGAATATCAAACCTATCATTTAATTTAGACAGAGTTCTTTACTAGACATAGAAGGTACGAATATTTATGGGACTGACTGTAGGTATGACTAAAAAATAGAACGTCCAAAATCAATTTGACAGGTTTACTTAATAATCACTATTACACAGGACCCCTTTAATTTTAATTATTAACCGCTATATCAAATACTGACATTTTAATTTAGCTAACTGGAACTTATGACCACGCACAGTATGAAATGTTGCATATACAATAAAATTAATTTATGTTACTTATCGTAAAAAAATTTGTTACATTAGTAGAGTGTCCTATCTTTTCGTTTCCGACTGTACAGAATCTTTCCATAATGCAGGTTAGGAAGTGTTGAAAACCATTGAATAATAGAAACCACGCTCACGATTTTCGTCCCTGTGAAGGTTTCGTTATACCATTCCAAGATTACAATTTCGACGGATACACGAGCGAACGGGGTCTACCGATTTTCCACGGCATCGGAGCGAGACAGTTGGCCACCGGAGACCAAAGGGGCTGGATCCTTAGCAGATGTAATAAAAATAGAAGCGTCACATATACGACGGGGACAAGGAACGAAGGTAAAACGAGGGTTGCCGCAACGCGATGCAGCCTATAGGGTAGCGCTGTAAAATGAGAAATGCATGAGAAAGTCAGAGGGTTGGGAACTTACCGTCGTGGGAGTCATAGAGGTAGATGATTTTCTTCCAGCCGTAGTATCGCACCGTGTCGATGATGGCGCGATGATAATCCGGACGCATGCTTATGGCGAAATCCAGGAGACGAGAGGACGGCGTCAGTACCTGAACATAACACGAGCAGGCTTTATGTAACGTCCACTCGATCCTTCGACTTTTAGATTTTATTCGACCGCGATTCTCCAACACCCAAATTTAACCCTTCGAGGAAACGTTAGCTGTAACCGTATTCTTTCTCTCTGGATTGAGAGAAATCTGCGTGAACGCCGCGCCGGGGAGGAAATATAACCGTAAATATTTATGATGTTTGCACGAATGACAGCCCATTGGAAAGATTCTCGGGATATGCGCGATATTGGCTTGTTCTGTAAATTCCTCCCTTCGGTTCCTGGAAGCGACATAGCAATCTAAGTGAATTATGGTTCCATTTGAATGCACGGGTCTTGTTCATTACTCATGAATCGACGGAAAGACGTATTCAGTCTTAATCGAGTTTATATTGCTGAAATGTGTAACATTGCACGCATGAATTTTTAGTTTGGTCAAAATGCTTCAGAGACAAACTCATCCAAATTAATATTCTCTACTCATTTTTTTCAATTTTTGTTTGTAAACGATCGTCATTTTGCAACGACACAATACTTTCCCAAATCCATAAGTGCATCCAAAACTATAATCACATATTTCATAAGAATGCTTCAATTTATTTATGACTGATTAATCCATGCAAAGAAAATCTGCGAAATCATACAACAATACAAAGAAAGACCTTATCGGACTTACTATATGATGGATTTTGTACACGCTTCTCTGATTTTGACAATAAAATCAACTTAAGTTTGAAAAACGCAGCCTAGTTTATCTTATCTTTTGAACAAATAAAAAATAATAAAAGATGTAGGAATACAATCACAATAGAGATACCAACAATTATTCATTCAATTTGTATAAAAATTCTTAAAAATACTCTCTTTTCGTTCGTTACCTTGATTCACTTCACGTGCCTCAAGTAAATTTCATGTTCAGTTACCTAAAAACCATAGTCTCTTACAGAAAACTGTTATTTTACGTTTTCGACGTATTTTTGCATGCAAAATCACGTCATCGAGTACCATGCCGCTCACCGCAGGGCACTCTGTATATTCGCGAGTAATAAATCTCCGAAGTGCAATATCTTCGCCGCCCGCGTCCTCCGTGATTGCCTTAGCGACACTAACTTCCCGACAAGAACTTACTTCATCAAATTTCTGTGTCTACAAAAGAATTTTCTACGAAGCAAGACTGAGCACAAGATGAATTCGCGTGGAAAAACAAACAAAAGCGTCTTATCCGAGCAATATTATAAGAACGACGCTCTACCCTTCGTCGGGGTTACCAGTAGAAATTAACGTCGTAACGCCATTGAAGATCTCATGGAAATTGAAAAAGATTTCCCTTTATAAATGGTCGCTTTTAACTGTCCGTAATTGACCAGCAAGGGGAGGGTGGAAAAAAAACACAGGGGGAGAGGTTTCGAATCAGCATTACCGCCCGATTACCATTTAAACGACACGAACGTTCGTTACGCGTTCCACCGCATAACAGGACGCACTTATGTTCACGTACACGGTTACACATCTATAGAAAAACTCACGCTTACCGTCCCGTCGAAATATACAGGGGCGCCCATTCATCCAATATGGACGAACGATATCAGTTTTGCAAGTGGTACCGTCGGCCCGATAAATGCGCGATCGTTGCAATTCGACGCGGCGAATAAATTTTCAGTCGGTCCGATTCATTTCGAAATTCAAATTGTAATATGTTTGTACACACCCCATACATATTTATGTATTTATGGGATTTGGTGACTGGGAGGGTCGTGGGTGTGCGTTCGAGAGCTGGTGATTGCGTTACGGCGACAAGCGTTCGCCCGACCGCGCTAATTATCAACGCAGACTCCGCGAGAAGCTATCGATTTTCGGTTGGATTTCCCCGAGCACACGGGCCCGTCAACAGGAAAGTGATGCAGGAAACAAAAAGGAAAGTTGTACTGGTTTGACCAGTACAAGTAGAAGCTATGAGGATAAACCTTGCGGAAAAGGCGATTTCTTCAAAGATGACGCTTTGGATCTGACCAGATGGAGGAATGGGGTCAAATGCGGATTTCCTTGTACATTAATAAAGCGAGAATTTCTGGATGTTTATTTAGAGAATGTTAACTGCTGTATGTTAAAATTTAGAGAGTTTATTGTTGTTCGATGACGAGGTATTCTGGATAAGATTTTGCATATTTACATAAGTTACTGTACTATTCTTTTGTAGTATTTCATATTTCATTCTAGCTATTTAATGACACGCTTCTTGCTATTTTTGGAGGAATTAATAGAAAGTTTAGGTATCAATTAAAAGGAATAGTTTTTGTAACGATTAATCTTTTAATGGTGATACGATTATGAACACATTAATTGACGATTTGTTCAAAATGCAAGTGTGAAAGTTATTCCTCAGCAGGATTATTAAACTCGAAGTAATTCACAACGGTAGGCATGTTAAAATTGAAGTTGTTTATAAAAGTATAAATGTTGAAATTGAAGTTAAAGTTTTCCATGAAAGTAGTAAAGTCAAAATTAAAATTACAAAAACCTAACTTTTCAGGATGTGTTAAATGTTATCTAATCGTATTTCTTTGTATCAAAATTGACTAACACTGTCTTTTTGATAATTTACTGTCTTCTTTACCCTTGAAAACAGTACTCTATGACTGTAACCAAGGTATCCGCGTCTCTGGTTTCCTGCAAATTTTACTCTGTGAATGTTTTCTCTCCGAGAATGTTGTCAGTTATGTTTCCTTATATTTTTTTACAATTTTATCGCGTTTTTTTTTTACTTTCAGTATTCTAAATTAAATTTTAACTGCACAGAACTGTTCAAAATCGCTTAAATGTTAATTTAAAGAAAAGTGTTTTTATTTTTCATTTTTTCATTTCTAAACCATTTAAAGCTGAAAGTATTCATGAAAATATAAATGTCGAAATTAGAGTTCTGCATGAAAGTAGTAGTGTCAAAATTGAAATTCATACAGGTAGGAATGTAAAAATTGAAGGCCATCAGGATAATAGAAATTTTAAAGCTGTAGTTACACTTGAATACAGGAATATTAAAATTACAATTATTTTTGAGAATAAAATCGTATAAAATTAAGGTGAAGTTGAAGTTGAAATTATTCGTGAATATACAAAGGATAAAATTAAAGCGATACCCGAGGGTAGGAATGTTAAATTTGCAGTTATCCATGAAAGTAAAAATACTAAAAACAAATTAATTTACGAAAGTGGCAGTGAGAAATACATGGATAAAACAATAATTATTAAATAAATAATACATAAATATTAATGTTTGGAATTATTTCAACATGATAAAAATTAAAATTCATTAAAAGTTATACTTCGGAATTAAAGATAATTATGTATTTGCTTAATATGTGAATCTTACATCTGACATCAAAGATCCTACAAAGATTCATATTGTTGTTTTAATAAAATTCACGATTTGCTACTTTGTCGGGATGCTGTTGAGCATTGGAAAGGCGTGGAAATAATCGTCGAAGGCCGATAAGTGACAAGAAGATCTGTTAAGGCTATGGTAAAAATAAACGCTATTTTCCCTCGAACGGTGTTATAAGTTTTTATTTAGCTGAGCAGAAAAGCGTGGTACTTACCTTCTCAGGGAACCAGGGCGTCACGAAAGGCATCTGGAACGTGTTGCTGTAAGAATGGAGGGTGTCAAACGAATCCGGACTCACGGAGCCTAGCATGGAAAACACCCCTCTGCTGAATTGGCTGCAGACTGAAACAAACAAACAATGCGAACTTTTCAGATACTTCTTTTTAAAAATGGTCAATTGATGAAATGCATAGTGAATCGCTAACGTCGGAGCCCGACTACACAGTTTCTCGAAATCCTTATTGCTTTAGAGCACATTTGATAAATACATTAAGGAATTGCTCCATAACACAGAAACTATTTAAAAGATAATGAAATATTACTCTATATTGTTTCAATATGTTATTGTTAATCAGTCGATCTATGAACCAATCATATGCGAAAATTATAAAGTTTGGAATTATTTCGACACTAGAATTATTTACAGCAAGAATGAAATAATATAATAATTTAACGTTTTTCTTACTAGCGAACGTATATAAGACACGGTGATGTTACTGTTATTGTAAACAAGAGATATCTATAATAAAAACATGTAAATATTTTTGTTTACCTTGAACTAGAATACGAAAATAGAAAAATAGAAAGAAAATGTAGGCCTGGTAGTGCCAAACAAATTGTTTTTCATTTGAGTTGAAGTACAGTCTGAATAATAAATCAAATGCAAGTCATGATGATTGCTAAGTTTTGTAAAATAGTATTTGTCCAAGAACTCAATTACGTTTAAATAGTATTAAATGTGCCAATTAGCGACAAATGAAAAAATTATAAATATAATAATTTAAAATTGTTTTCTCTTGCGATGTTGGATATTGTTTTACTTAATTTCAATTTATTGCCTCGTTATTAAATATTGTAAATTTGTTAAACACAAAGGACGCATTAAAAAAATACTTCTCAAAAGTGCTTGAAAATCTCAAACCAACACTAAATTTATCGAAAAACTAAATCCCTCGACAAACTAAATTACAAGCTTAATACAATATTAAAGGAAAATAAAATAACGAAAAATTATGGAATTAGAAATGTAAACCTGGTAGGATAAATAGAATTTTACCCTGATTTACCACTGGAAATGACATAACGACCTTTAAAAAAAAAACCACCACATTATACTACTCGGCAGTATTGTTGCAGAATAAGTGCAATGAAACTATCCAGTAAAGAATTATCATCTGCGGCAGACAGATAACTAAATTCACACAGAAATACGAAGATAAGAGTCAAGGTAATTTGTTGAAGAATATTACTGTTTCGTTTTTAAATTACTGAACACCATAATGAATTTGTTCAATGTATTCATGGTAAAATTTGTACAATCAAAGCGATGAAAGGTTGATCCAGAAAAATGTATTAACTTTGACAAATATATGTTAAAGAATAAGTGCAATGTACGCGCAATCGTATCGATGCGCGCTGCGCCATACGTTACCGAAAAAAAAAATATCACTACCATTATCATGAATGCTCTCAATCTTCGACAGACGAACAACCGAAGCGAATTTCGCGGAAATCAGGGGTAAAATCCGGCCAGCCGCCGCAGCATTTCACGCGTAATTTCATTCGCAGCCGCGTCCTTTCACAACGGTGTAATATCTATTCAAAGGTGTCAAAGCATAGCCAGAAGTCCAATAACTCTGTTTTTCATTATGGCGTAACGAACAAAGCGGAAGGGAATTTCATTAAGTTATCAATAGACTTTTGCATCGATAATTTTGGTTGGTTACCCTGGCGATACGAGTTAGATCCCTTTGTGTTGTTGTATTGAGTTCTATTAGCAGAAGAAAGTCTGAGAGGAAACATCCTTAACAACAATCACGGCTAGAGTTGAGTGAGGCTTCGAGCACCTTGATTAATTGAACAACGGAGAGGAAGCTAGTTCTTGAAAAACATCGAGACTCCTAGCTGGATTTCGATGGGGAGTAGGTAACCTATTGGTCTCTGGGCCTAGGAGGACATTAAAGGGCCCCATACACAATATAACACAGCATAATACAACAGTACATAACATATGATAACATAATAAAACAATATACAACATATGGCAGGTTAAGTCAGCGTAATGCTGCGTAATATAACAAAACACAGCCTAATTTAAAAGCACATATTATCAAACAGGTTAACACATTACACCACAACATTGTATAGTAAAATACAATGCAATATGAGACATCATAATTCAATGGTACACATAATACAACAGCATAACGACATATAACACAACACAATTTTAACGTAACAGTATAGAACACTTGACAACATAAGACAACATAACTTTTTAATACATTATGATAATTTATTCGCAGTTCTGCTCTTCTCAAACAAATAAACAGGAGAGAATAATTATAGAAAACAGGTACATCCTCACCGATTTCGATGATTTTTAAATATGTTGTAAAAATCAACATTTCTACTTTTACTGTTTAGGCTCGGAATACACGTACGCGACCATTAGTCTGTATGCATTAGCTATCATTCGTTGGTCGGCTCGTGTTTCAATCTGTTTCGAACTCATTTATACATATAAAATAGCGCATGATCTGTATTCGTACAGTAAAAAAATTGCATGTTCGGGTCGAAGCCCCCAACCACGAGTATTGCAGCGCACCACGCAGGTTTGTATACGCGGTTAACCTGAGGGGTGTTTATAGTTTAGCGGGAGGTCGAGGGGGCGAAGCCCCCCGCCTGGCAGAGTGTTTAGAGGGCGCAGCCCCCAGCATGCGTATAGTTGACACGTATGCTTTTCAATTTTTGTAAAAGAATTTTGCGCAAAAAGTATATGCCTCGAAATTACGGGAACTCACAGACGCGTATATGTATTCCGAGCCTAAACAATCTACGACTGAACGCTTACATACACACTGCCACAGATGCGTAGTTATACGCAATATTCATTTTAGTAGTAGCAATGATATTTTGCAAATACAGTAAAATGTGTATATAATGTATTCGTACACCGATCAATTTCTCAGAAAGTTTTGTATGAAATTTTAGTTTATTAACTTCTTTTTTTATAATCAATGATTTTTTACATATTCTCGAAAATTTAGAATAGATTTAGTTCAAACAACAATTATTAGTTTATATAGTTGGCGAAATTAACAAGAAAATACGAAAAATCGGTAGAAATATAGAAGCAAGTATTCGTACTGTTCTTATTGACGAACTGTTTACGGTTGAGTTGGTAACATAAACACAACAGTTTATTGCTTCGCACAAATTAGAAAGCATGAAATTTCCAGTAAATAGGGAAATGGAAAACCCCATCCGGAAGGGACGTCCGAGGGACGGTTATATGTATACGGTTATATTATATGAAAAAGTTATTCACAATGTTGATTTCTACAACATATTTAAAAATCATCGAGATGGGAGAAGATGTATCTGTTCTCTATAATTACCTTAATTTTAAATAATTCTTCAGACACTGCACTCTTTCCAAGTGGATTCCACTTAACAAGACTGTTCAACGTCGAATAGATTTGCGTCTAGCTGAGGATGAGACTGAACGATCTCGAATTGGAATCACCGGAAACAGCGGGCGGATTCAAGTCGTGAACTGACTAAGTACACGTTCTCGTAAACGCTCCGATAATTCGACACATTTGACAGCGGGGTGTGAAGCCGTGCCACGCGAGATCGATACACTTGCGCCAAACGGTGATAACCGACGCGCGATAAAAGTTTTATCATGAAACGGATAGAAGAGTTTCAAATGGTGAAACGTGAAAGGAAGAAGACGCGGAGAAGATATGATATCGGGTCGAACAACGATTCAAACGTTTGGAACCTCGCCAACCTGTATACTTGGACGCCTCATGTAAAAGAGCGTGAAAAATGATCACCCGAGAAGGACGTTACACGTTTTAATCGCGAGAGGAAAGGATCGATAATCGCAGAGCAGCCCCGTTCGAAAACTTTGTCTCTCGATGTGCGTGGAAATTTATTCTCTGAAGTAGGCCAAGGTTGGTACAACAACAGAAAACAGAGCGTCAGTAGCGGACAGTTTTAAGAAAGTATAAAAATTGCTATTATTAGACCCTCGTGAATGTTACAGATAATACTTTGTTGCACACGAGGCTTTAGATAAGAACTAAGCAGCAGTGGCGCCACTAGTTCAGGTGCTCGCCGTTTATTGAAACCGTTCAGTTTTGTTATTCGTTAAATTATTGCGATCTTTGCTATCGATTTTTGTAACTTGTTGCAGATGTGCATACTCTTAGGTTCGTGAAAAAATATTTGATATATTTTTAATTTTTACATTTTTTACATTGTGAACACATCCAACAATAAGCTTATTTGTAGAGATATTATGAAATCATTTTTTCGTTTGTATTGTATTTGAATTAAATGTAAATATTATTTCTCCACTGCGAACAATATTTCCAAGTTTCCATTTATTCACTAATTACCATTGGCAATATTACCATTAATATAAACAGCAATTTTAATTACGGAATACAGCAGATCTTTACTACGTAAAAGTGATGTCACTGTCTAGATTAATATGTGCTATACCGATCAAATAAAAATCAATTATAACGCATCGTATAACGCAAAATGTGAAGTAGATATGTACATTGTACTCGCGCTTCATTCTCTTAATATTTAGAAATATCTCGTATGCGTCGGATGATTCGTTGGTCGAATTAAATAAACATTTCCTTGAGCAATGAAAATTTTTTACTGTAATTAATTAACATGCTCCACCGGTCTTCGTTTAGGAGCATATTCAGGTATTTTCCACACCGCAATGAAGTTTCCCTTGGATACCAGAATACATATCATTCTGTTTCGAAATGTGGACATAGAGGAAGTATTAAACTAAAACGGATATTTTATGATACCGACAACCCCAATTAAATTACCACGTGGAAAACGTATTCGTTTCACGGCGAATATATTTATTCCTTTCCCGCTCGGTTCATTTATTTATTAACCCACTGCTTCACGATTTAAATTAATACTGTGCACACCACACTCGGGCACTGAATTTCTCATGCGCTGGAACGAACGTCCAATCTGCCTATGCCAATTCAGTGGAAGTCATTTGAAGCGTACCAAGAAATTTCAAAAATTCATTCTTTTAAGAAATATGAAATATCGAACTACAGTATTTCTAG